ATCATCATACAACGTTGTAGATGGAACTGAGGACGTCATAACCGCAACAGTGACTGTCTCACTGTTGGGTTTCGCGACTGTTTCAAAGTCGGGACGACGTGAGAGTGCATCAGCGACGACATTAAGTCGTCCTGGTTTGTACTCGACCGTAAAGTTGTATTCTGCAAAGAATGACAACCACCGCGCCATTCGTTGTGAAAGGTGCGGGCTGTTCACTGCCGTGCGTAAGGACGCATGGTCAGTGTAAACAACGAAGGGTCTATCTCCTAATAGATAGACTCTGAACTTCGCGAGTGCATACTTCATGGCAAGGAGTTCCTTGTCATGCACTGGATAGTTCCGCTCAGCTGGTTGCAGCTGACGCGACTGATAGCAGACGACGCGTTCAACGCCTTCAAGGTCGTACTGCATTAATGCACAGCCGATTGCGAAATCGCTGGCATCACAGACCACATGAAATGGCCTGTCCTGATCGGCTATTGCTAGGACTGGGGATTGTATCAAGCTCTGCTTGATACCCTCAAAGGAGCGTTGACATTCAGCGTTCCATAACCACCTCTCGTTCTTTTTCAACAAACGAGAGAGGTGTACAGTCATCTCGGCGTAATTGCGTGAATACTTATGCAAATACGCCGCTAGCCTAAGGAATTTTCGAAGACCTTTGACATCGACCGGCACGGGCCAGTCGGTGATCGCCTTGATCTTTTCGGGATCAGGACGTACACCGTTCTTACCAACGATGCACCCAAGAAGTGGTATTTCGCTTGCTGCAAATATACACTTCTTGAGGTTTGCATACAATTGATGCTTTCGCATGATTGTAAGAACTTGTCGGACGTGGTACTTGTGAACCTCAACGTCCGACTTTCCATCCATAGCTCGACTATGGATGAATACGTCATCGAAATAACTCGGCGCGAATTCTCGTACTGGCCTCAACAGATGTGATACACACCTGTTGAACGTGGCAGGGGCATTACTGAGCCCTTGTGGCATTACTAGCCATTCCCAGAGCATGCCGCTAGGCGTGCTAACTGCGGTATAGGGTATATCCCGTTCCCGCATTAGGATTTGATAGAAGCCATCCATCAAATCCATGGACGAAAAGATGGTACTCTTTGACATACCATCAATGATTACGTCCTTCCTCGGTATCGGCGTCTGAGCCGGTACCGTTGCAGCGTTCAATTTGTTAAACGCGTGCACTATCCGCCACCCTCCTGTTGCTTTTCGCACACAGAAGGTCGGAGAGCTATGTGGGGAAGTTGATTCCCTCACATGGCCCGCTGCTAAACGATCGGCAAAGAACTTGTCGATCGCAAGTACTTGTTCACGAGGCAGTGGCCACTGCTTCATGACACAGTACTTCGAGCCTGGTTTAAGCTCTACCTCGTGTCGAATACCTTTATCCTTCGGTAATTCGCACGGAACAGTTTCAGGGAATACATCCTTGAATTCAACCAAATCTTCATAGAGAGGATTTTCCTTGAGCGATTCCCATGATTGGGACTCATATCGCTCAATTCGTGTCTTTTCATCTAGGACACTCTCGTCCATAGATGAACTACTGAGAACTCTCTCGTTCTCAGTAAACACTGTTGCTGACCTTATGTCGGTTACATACTCGTCGTCAGCGACGAGTACGCAGATCTGCTTGACTTTGCCACTACGCAGATCACGCAAGAACCTTTTATGTTCGAGCGCTGGCGACTGAGTGATCTCCGAAGTCAACTTCGGAGGTGCAATCAGATCAAGTGTATAAGCGCCTACACATGATCCGTTATTGACTATGACATTCAATGTCTCTGTCATTTCCTGGGGACTTATTCCCTCAGGCTTCGAAGGACTTATTCCTTCGTCTTCCCGGGGACTTATTCCCGCGGGTTTCGGGGAACTTATTTCCGCCGTATTTGTAATCTTGGGACTTATTCCCTTTACTTCCTCTAGCTGGGGTTGCGCAACCACAGCGAGATCCTCTACGAAAGACTCTCCAGTCGATCTAGGATTATCGTTTCGCTTAACCTGAGCGATCGATTGTTTCTCTTCTAGATGTTCCCCTCTAGGGATACATCTTTGTCCCAGTCCACCCGACTTATTCGAGTGGTGGACCTTCGGCGCAGCCTGTGTTTCCTCACAGCCGCCGGAACTTTGCTCCGAAGTGTAACCGTTTGGTACACTAAGGTTTTGTGCAGTCGTACTAACGACCGTACCACAAGTGAGGCCATCGCACTCACTCGTAGTACATCCACACGCTTGTGGACTCTCCAAAACGTTCATCAGATGGCCATCTGATGAACAAGCGGCAGGCATCGTTACTGTCCGATGTTGCCAGTTTACCCGTGGTTCGTACCTTCTGAGCCACGGTATTCCAAGGATGACATCAAATTTGTCATCCAAATCCAATACGATAAAGTCATCGTCGTATTGGGTATCTTCTAGCGTATAGTGAATCTTCACTATACGCTTTATGACTGATTACGGATGCGCCTGTCGCAAGACGTACCGTCATCCTCGTAGGAGGTGTGTCACATTCACTGAATTTAAAGTGACCATCTTCTAGCGATTGGCGTCGCACAAAATTGTTGGACGCCCCACAATCGACTAGAGCTCGAAGGGACAACTTATTCGTCACTTCGAGTTTCAAGGTAATGAGTGAGATCTCATTACCTAGAGCAGCAACGCACAATGTCTGTGTGTTGGGAGCAACCTTCATCAAGAGGCCCACAAATTCTCTTGACGTTGCTGGACCAGTAGGGTGCTCCGCACCTACTGATCCTGTCCGTTTTTTGACGGTCCATCCCGTTGTTGCGTCTTTGCACCAACTGCGGACCCTCGTCCCTGCCCCTTTCTCATGGGTGGACGGTCACTACGCCCAGTGTCGCGAGACACTGGACGAGGGGCACTACACTCGCAAGCGTAGTGTCCTGTCTTTTGACATCTGTTGCATCTCTGCAACTTCTTGTAGCCTGTAGAGCGAGCCTTCTCGCTCTCTACATAACACAGTTCCATCGGCTCTGGACCTCCGTTGTCATATCGTCTCGGTTGACGATATGATGTCGAGCTGGCGCGAGCCTGTCTCAGACTGAAGTCTTCCTGCTCCGCAATGGAAATGGCTTGTTCTAGTGAATCTAGTTCAAGCCGGAACAGGTGAGTCTTGACGGGACCATCCGCAAGACCCTGCATGAACACCGAAACCAACGTGTGTTCATCAACCGTGTTGGAACTTAAACAACTCGTAAGATGTCGTGTATGTTGTGCGTAAGCGTGCACATCACGCTTACCTTGTTTGAGCTTCAAGAGTTCGGTTCGAGCTCTGAACTCAGCTCTAGGCGGTTCAAACGTTTGTCTGAGCCGCGACTTGAAGACTTCCAACGACCCAAACGCGTATGGGTCGTGCAGCTTGAGCCCCAGTGCCCAAGTCTTGGCACGTCCTGCCAGATTTGACTGGGCAAATGCAACTTGCATATCCCCGTCGTCGATGCGACGCGCCCTTATGGCGTCATCCAATTCGACGAACCATCTCAAGAGGGAGTCTTCTTCGACCCCCTATACTTTGAGATGTCAATCTTCAAAGTCTCGGGCCGACGCGAGTGCATCGACCCGCCAGCAGCAGCCTGCTGCTGTCTCAACAGTTCAAACTGTTGAGCACCTTGTTCTCTCAACAACTCTGCTTGTTGAGAACCTTGTTGGTGAAGCAAGGCTACTTTCTCGCGTTCTGCGTCAAGTTCATTTTGAATGAACTTGGCGATAGTAGCATGTTGGGCATCTCTATTGAGAGCCTCTAGCATGACGCTAACAGCATGGATGCCCATGGTCGAACCCATTCGTTCAACCGCATCCCATTCGACATCGCTCAAATGGGAGTAGCCGTCACGCGTAGCGTGAAAGCTTTGGTCATCTTCATCATCCAACATATTCATGTTGGATGTGAACGCGGTCCTTGGACGGACTACGAAGTGCTACCAGGTGTAACGGGGCACCCTGAAGCTTGTACTGGTGACAGTACAAGCTACTTATTCTGATGACAGAATAAGGCGGTGCCTCGTAACTTCACGTACACTCGTACGTGCAGAGGAAGACGGTAAGAAGAAGCGAGTACTTGGTTAAAGTAAAAAGTAGAACTGTATTTATAATAGTTAATGTCTGCAATAAATCACTATTTATCTTCATCTAACTATGTCTAAATACAAATGTGTAAATCAGTTATCTGCTCACCACTCATTGCGTGCGTCTGTCGTGGCGCGTCTTCGTTGGTTGATATAATGGCCTATATCAACCAATTAGGAACTACTTGGAAGTGCTACAGAATATTGTCCTTATGACAATATTCTGAGAATATAACTCTTATAGTTATATTCTATTAACAATTTCTTATAAATAGTAATGTAACGATTCACCCCGTTACAAAATGTGTAAATCAGTTATCTGCTCACCACTCATTGCGTGCGTCTGTCGTGGCGCGTCTTCGTTGGTTGATATAATGGCCTATATCAATCAATTAGGAACTACTTGTAAGTGCAACAGAATATTTGTCCTTATGACAATATTCTGAGAATATAACTCTTATAGTTATATTCTATTAACAATTTCTTATAAATTGTTATGTAACGATTCACCCCGTTCCAAAAGGTGGACCCCAGAAAAGCACACATGCTGCTGCCCACTGGATCGAGTAGAATGTCGACAACAAGCCTCACGGAAGGAGAAAAAGGGATCATTCTCAATTCCGATCTTAAGGTGTGGATTTTCGAATGTGGACCAGTAGAACGCTACGACCAACGAAAAATACACCGACGAGAGTTTGGATGGAAGCTTGTTTATAAAAATAGCCAAAAGCAGGCGGTGGCGTATCTCGATTGGTTATGAGTTGTCGGTGGTATAAAGGGCAGCACGGATGGTTTACAGATAGTGCTCGCGAAAGTAGTGTTAGATTCTCTACCGGAGTTGCTTCCAGTGTGGCATGCAGTATGGCGAGGAGCCTGATCAGTTTTTACGTTGAAATGTTCAGTGCAGCAAGCGAAGAAGAGAAACCAACACGTGACAACGAAGAAGAGATCCTCAAGCTTAATGATTTCATTGGCTATCTGAAAGAGTTTAAGAAAAGGGATCCCAGCCATTACGGCGCCGTTGTAATTAAGCTGCTGGCGAGTGCGTCACTGGAAAAAGTAAGCGATGTCGTCGTGTGTCAGATGGCTTTCTTGCCAGGAAAACCTTTGTCCGGTCGGCGCTTTCAGGACCTTCAAATCTTGTTTCAGTAAATTCAAGAAGACCCGGATCCGGACTCGATAATGAGTACAGTCAAGATGGAGTTTTTACGACGTGAATCATTGAATGCCCTTTCATTGGCGAAACGTTGTGAGTCAAGTGCGGCCATGAGAGAGAAGCGAGAATGGTCTGGTTTCTGCCTATGTTCATGCAGTCGCTAAGGTATGTTGACGTGGTGAGTCATTGGTGCGCTGAAGGACGAAAGAGAGTACACTGGCTGTGGCTTGGTTTTGGGCCTTCATTAGCATGAGTTGGTGCTGACCCAATCGTTTGATGTAACTCGAACAAGCACAACACGTGATCAAGGTCTCATTCACATTTGTACCTAGCTCTTTCTTGTACATGACAGACGCATAGTCGCTTATTTCTGATATTGTGGAAGAAGAGCACAAAAAGTAGAAAGCGAGTAGAGCCTTATCGTTCTAACCTGCCAGTGCAGCATCCATTTCACATGGCGGGTAGTCATTAAGTATTGCATTGACAAATGTAAACACTATTTTGTAGTAGCACGTAGCACATTACAGCACGCATCATAGAAGCCTTGCGGCACCAGCCAACGACACGTACTTGTAGTCGGATGTACGCTCCTCGTATTCAGCAACGGTGTCTTTAGGTCAAAGGTATTCAAACTTCGAAATGTTGATGAGCATCGTGACTGCCGCTGTTCTCCGATCGCTACACCGACTTCAAGTGCCGTAATAATTCACAGGTATCGTGCAATGTTCGTCTACTTGCATGGCTCGTGAAAGTGAAGCGTGTAAAGGGTAGCTGCTGTCTCGTCGCCAAGCAGTTGTGACCGACCACTCTTCCTTTTTAGACCAAGGCCACTTCGATGTGTGGTCTTTACAGAAATTTCACACCAGGTGGCCGTCGCTGGGCCGTTCCTTACCTGGTACTACAGCCAACTTGGCTTGCGCGCCATCACCAGCGTATTTCTTCTTCGTGGCTAAAGTGCAGCTCTTGCAAACTCGCACAAGATACAAATCCAACACGTGTTCCAATGTCAAGCACATAACTGCAAATCACGCAATCGTGACAAAAGTCCCATGCAGATCCAAACGAATGCATTGCGTTCGATTCCTCCTCGTGAATGACGTCACACACCATGATGACAGGACGCTCAACGTCGTCTTGCCTCACAATGGGCCATTGTATTCTTCCACAGCGGCGTGGCCTTTCACTGCAGAGCTGACATATCCCGGAAACATCCTCCATGCTCCCGAGCCGTGAGTGAAAGTTTATGAGAAGCGCAAGACAGAACACCCTGGTCCTCCAGCGTGTCCGGTACGCCACGCGTATTTGCTCAACAAAAAAACCAGGCGAAAGAAATGACCGCGAGCTCGTTAGCAACATCACACGATGAATCTGCACCAAGTTGCTTCGTCTCTCTGTTCCTTAGTTCGTTGTTCATCCAGATCCCGTTACCATCTGCCTCACTTCCGTTTTTCTTCCCGGTCATTGTGCCGCAGCAGCTGATGCACCAAATCAACATACTCACTCCAGCCACTGACACTCTGTTGCCATTAGCACTCCACTGCTCCATTCGTATGTGATGCAAGCGCCAACCCGACTGTCCCGGTAGACGAGCTTAATCGGTACACCAGCTTGAGCTCGGTAGCCTAAATTTGGCACTTAGTTAGTGCCTCCTCGCGCTCTTGTTGCGTATCACCGTTCAATACGTTACTTGCGAAAAAAAGCTCCGACTTGCGCTTTGCTGAACCAAAGGCCCACTCACGCCATGTGTATAACGTTGCCATCTTGAACTGACCTTGTGCTGATGGTAGCTCCCGGAAGTTTCGTGCCAAAGTCACATCGAGAAACACGTCCACGTAGAAAAAACGGGCTTGCTGTAATAACGTCTGTGTAGCAAGAGCCGAGAGTAAAGAACCCCAAATCGACTTTAAACGCGTAAGAACAACGCACAAACGTACCCAAATACTCACATTCATGTGTAGCGTCCGGGAAGCCGGTTGTCCTGTCGGCTCTATTGTAAGATCCGCTACCGCTGTCGATTGCTACTTGCGAATTCATCGAGCGAGTTGTTTCGTATAATCCCGAAGTAGTGCGACCTAGCGGTCCATTCGAGAATTTCCATACAACCAGCTGTCATATCGTACAACATGAAGCCACAAAGCTGTCTACGAAAAGACAAATGTCCAAGCCACGCACAAACTCGCAGTGGCGCTGTACGTCTGGATGCGGCATTTTCGCATCCAGACGTACAGCATTTCAAAGTTCGACCGATACATCGTTCAACACTGACGCAAAATCACGTCTTGATCGTACAGATATTTTGCCTCACATTACATCATGGAAACTAAATTCACGCAGCGGCAAGTCCCGTCTTACCAACCCAAGTTTCATCTCTCACTTATCCAACATTAGTTGTGCATTTTGTCTCCCAGTCTCATTGTAAGCATCATCATCGCATGCTGTGAACCCTTTCGTCCATTTGATTGCGCACCCGTCGCGGGAACTAGCTTTTTGACACGACCCACTCCTCCACAACATCTAAATATGGACTCTTTTCATCTAATCTTCTTCTCACCACTCGTTCAACACATCGCTGTTGTTCGAGCCAATATCGATCGTCCAAATCGTACCAGGCTTCACCAGCTTCGTCAGCGCACTCCGATCGCTCTTGCCTGATAGCGGCTGTTTACTTGGATACGCCACAATGCAAATTTGTGAAGGCGCAACGTGAGTGACCTCGTCGACGTCGTATAAGAACAAAGCGCACTTCCACTTCACTTCGTCGAGGCCTCCACTAATAGCATCCAGGTTGAGCTCCATCTTGCGGACTTCCTCCCCGGACTCTCCTTTTCTCCGAAGATTTACGAATCTCGGACGATACCTGGAGCTAGTGAACGAAAAGCGGTCTTGAAACTTCTTCATGAGACCACCATTACTGCCACCACTATTCGAAAGTGTCGGACTTCGAGTCTGATTTTCGACACCAGATGCTGCAACTTCCGAGTCGCTTCCACTACTATGCCCGGTGTGATCACTTCCATCCGATACCCGATCCTCGCGATTTGCACCGCGGTTGCCATTTGCTAAGTCGTTGTGACCGGCAGCGTGCGAGAATCGAGCCAACTTCTGAACAGAAGCTCCCGTTGGAGTGTCAGACACAGCATGATCTGCCTTACTGTCAGTACCGCTGCTGCCAGGGCCATGCATTCCTCCACTATTGCCGCCCCGCGATAGCAAGTGGCGCGTTGTAAAAAACAAGGATCCACCACGTGAAGTCGCATGCTGCTGAGCTGCCTGCTCAGCAATTTTGGCTTTAGCTGACAGCGCTGCCTGCTTGGCAATCCGCATCATCGCGTTGTTTACTGAACCATGAAACAACGCTTCTTGCAACTCCCCAGAGCGGCACACATGCGCTCGGCGTCACCTGATGCTGCAATATCCACATACGTCTGATGGCTTTCAGAGCCATTTGTGAGAATGCCGTTCTGCCTGGACGCCTCTTGGATCTTTTCCGACAGCACATACTTCAAATACTTCGATGCGTACTTTGTCTTCTTCTTCACGTGCTCTCTATCGACTATTGATTCTGCAGAAGACGCTACCAATCCGGATGGGGGCGGTAGCGTGTGGTCCGCTACTGCAGATATAAACTCATCCCACATACCACGATATACGCTTCGTACGAAATCTTTCGGCAATTCTTGCGCGAGACCAGAAGTTTTTGCATCGGTTGGGCTCTCCGGCTTGACGACCGAAATAGCGGGTAAGCGCTCGGCTGGGAATGCTTCTTTAAAGAATATTGACAACTCTGCCTTCGATAAAGAAGAAGCTCGCAAAGAATCAACAGCCAGCAAAGGGTCACCGAAACCACCTTCACTTCCCTCAAAGGCTGTTGCAGACGATTGCTGAAAATCGGTGAAACTGTCTTCAGTGTTTGCAGGGACCTGCTCAAAGTCTCCAAAGTCACCAAAACAGTTGTCATCACCACTTGGGTTTACGCTTTGCGCAAAATCTCCAAAATCGTCGTCGACTGGTGCAACAATTACAGCCATAGACGCAGGTGTGGACACAGCAAAGTCCCCAAACCCTTCGTCTGCTGGCTGCTTATGGGCTGGTGAAAGCGGCGCTCCAAACAACGACGCGTCTGGAACGCTTGTTGCCACAGCTGCAGCTCCAAAGTCATTGAAGTCGTCAAAGCCGTCATCGCTATCCGCTACTCTGGCTTGTATCTGACCGTCTTGCGTGTTTGCTTTTTGTGCAGTAGTTTCTTCGGGGAGTTCCGAAGTGATTGGAATGTCCATTGAGGCAACATGTGACGTGCTACGTGCATCGCGGGGTTGTACACAGCTTTCTTCATTCGCTACATCATCAAAATCGCGTTCTGCTGGGCTAGCACTTCGAGTGTTCAAATTCGCGCTCGTACTCGTCAGCGAAAATGCTCCAATCTGGATACGTTCAAGCGAGCCCTCGCCCGCGTCCGTCGACTTTTGCTCCACTCGGCAGGCAGCATTTTTACTCTTCGTGAACGCGACATTATCCCGGTTGTGCTCACAAAGGTCACTGAAAATATTGTCTCGCAAGTCAAAGGCCTTGTATTCACTATCAGCAGTTACATCGGCTGTCTGGGTATCGCTTTCGTTGAGCTCTACCGCAGCAGCAGGGCGAATGGTTGAAACATCTGTAGCCATATGCCCATTTTCGAAAGAACCGTCGGAACGTTCTCCATCCTCGCATCTCATTGTGGCCGTAAAAGCGTCCACCAAGTCTTCCGTCTCTGTAGTTTTCGCTAAGTCAATGTCGCTGCAACCATCGCCGATAGGTACGTTCTCAATATCGTCATCCGACGTACTTGTAACCGGCTTCTGCATACCCTTACTGTCTTCTTCACATGTTTGCTTGCTATCACTATCCTCATCCTCCTTTTCGTCGTCAGCAAGGTCTGCAGCAATGCTCCAAACCGAAAGGTGATCTTGCAGAGGCACTTGTGAAGTAGCCAGATCTGCCTCAGCAAAAGGATCCGTCAAACTGAAGTTGTCAGCGCCAGATTCAAAGTCCGCAAAACCGTCCGATGATTTGGAAGAGCCCTGCCAAAAAGTAGGGGCACGTGAAGGCGATACTGCTTGCAGCAACAGCGAATGAGCTTCATTTTTACTACCGCCATCTCCGACTGTCCCCGCACTGATTGACGACGAGCTCAGCGAGCCAAAAGACCGCGTCATGTGTTTAGCAAACGGATCGCGTGGCGACGCCTTACCATTCGTAGTCCCAGGCGTGGCATCAGAGAGTCTCAGAGTATCCCCATCGTCATGTAATGACTCAAATGACGTAGAGAGAGACAATGGTGCCAGCGAAAATGTTGTTGATAGCGCCGACGCTAATGTCGTAGAGAATATGTCGCTGTTCTCAAATGCTGGCGCTGCTGTGCTCGTCTCACTGGTATTGTCATCAATACCAAAGAACGGATCAGCTGGTGCCGACGTCAGCACAGGAGAGAATGACAACAAATCCGTTGCACTCGTCTCTCGAACGTTTCTAGCCCCTGGCATAGGAAACGTTGCCGCTTTCGTCATTGTCGGCGGAGGCGGGAGCATGAAAGTACTACCCGTCGACGATGCCCTGCCCCTCGCACTATCACGTGACGTTGTCGAGCTCGAGAAAACCTGTCTATCCATCTCATGGCTTGCACTTCCCCACAACAAATCGAAACGCGACGACGATGACGTCGACGTTGGCGCCATGACCTCCGCCCTGCACCGCGAATCGTCTTCGAACGCTCCTGCAACATGCCCCGCCTTCTCACCTACCTCCCTACCACCTGATCGAGACGTGTTGCTCGCTGTAATGTCTGCAAATGGATCAATTTCGCCGCTGATCGACGGCAAGAGTATCGGAGGGGACGCCAAAGTCCCTCCTGGGGCCATTAAAGGCGGAAGTGACTTCAACGACGACGTTTTCGAAGCTGCACTTGATGCCGAAGAGTCTATTGAATCACACAGACCACACATCAAGTCCCTTGTATCCGTTTCAGTCCTGTAAACGTCACCAAAAGGATCCGAGAACTGCTCTGCTGTTGGAAATGACTCGAGTTCGGCTTCAGTCGCGAGGAGAATGCGGTGGTTACTACCGTGAGCAGACGGGGAAGAGCTGGCACTGTCTGAGGCGTTCAAAGGCGCGCTCGTAAAGCTTCTGGACGTCGCCATGGAGACGGATGGGCAGCCACCGCAACGGATGGGGCACGTTTACCGGCGGTAGAGAAGGCGCGATACTGAAGCCAAGTGAGAGGCTTTTTCCTGTGAGAAGCGATATCTTGCGAGATATGATATGAGATTGTGTTTCTGGTCGTGTGCGTGTCTTTTAGAAACGGTTTCTATCGACTTGTAAGAACAGAGGAAAGCCGTGCAGAGCACCTAACAAGACCTTCTTCTCAAGTCACTTTTTTTGAAATGTTGTTTCTGCTTTCGGTACGTGTTGTCATTTTATTTGATTGTAAACTGACTTACTAAACGAGCTCACTAAAGCTGATAAAATGA